TCCATGCGTATGGAGACTTATCATAGAAAACAAAAAACTGTTACATGAACCTAGGTTTAAGGGTGCAGGTCAGAATTTTGCACTAGCAAGTCAATGTACCTTTATAGGGTTCAAAAAGTTTCCAAACAAATTCTTCCATATGAGGTAGTACGCTAGCAATGCACTGCAGTTCCTCCAAATCATCTAAATCATGGCACTGTATTCAATTGGAGAACAATTTAACAAGATCCTACTGTTCATCAGAATGACCTGGCTGCTACCACATTGTACACTGAAAGGTTCCTCAGATGAACGTCATCCTCTGCATCAGATTATATGAAATATGTGCTAGTGGCTACGTACAACACGTTCATTTACGCATAGATACAGAGCTGGCAGACCAAGAACAACTCATGTTGTTTCATATTTGGGTAGCACTTTGATTACAGTCATTGACTGTGTGACATTATTTCTTAATATTATTACAATGAATACTTCATTTATACTTATGCCTATAACTGTTGTTTTTGTAGAGAAAATTTTGGTAATATTTTGATATAAAATGTTTCATTTGTTGTTGTGTACACTTTTTGCAATGGATGCATTTCTCTTATGAGGCATATTAATAAAAGTCTTGAAGAACATTACCTCAATGATGCTATCATCAGGTAGGCCAACAATACCTCTTTCCATACCATTAACAAGTATTTTCTCATACCTCGCCATTTCTGAATTATTTACCTGCCGATGGACTTCTGAATCACCCAGTACGTTCTGCTTGTGTTAAAACACTACGACAATAATCTTCTATTACTCTAGCATGGTAGTTGTACATTCTGGATTATCTACTGATCACCAATTAATATACAGTTTAAATCCATATTATTTACAATTAATTACTATATTTACAGATTTATTTAAAAAGTTGGATGCACATATCATTATTCCTGAAATCTGTCGAGACTGTTTATGATTTCACAACATTTACAAGTAGATATATTAATATTTGTGAGAGCTCGTCTTCATTTTCTCACAATATTTAAGAACCTAAAAACAAATTATGCTATATAACAAGAAAATAAGTAACATAAAAAACTTACTACCCTGCTCTAGACTAATATAACTAACATTACTAGTTTGAAAGTTAGAACTATTTCTCTTCATAAGCAAGTGCATTCTATATCCTTCAACAGGCACTGTAATATATGAAGTTTTCAATAACTAGAAAGCTCTAACGCCAGGTGTTTACCAATTGTTTTTTTCAATCAAAACAAAACTTTAAAACCTTTCAAGATTTCTCTTTTAATGTATTGCACATTTAACAGTTACTTTTTTGTCTTAAATGAATTGATTTGTCACGAAGAGAAAAACTGATGTTGGTTAAAAAAATCCTATGTTTTGTTATTCCTGGGTCAAATATTGTTGCAAATGGTAAACGAAATTTAAATAGACGATTCACCAACATCCAAAATAAATTA